TCAGTTTCCGAGTTCTGGGATACCCCATCTTCGGGGGCTGATTACAGTTATTTTTGGTCACCCGGATTAGTTTTTTTGGCCTAAGTATAATAATTTCATCAATTTCAAATCGATCTATGTAAAAAATAATCCGAAACTCCGGAATCGCCCGTGGCCTCTCGTGAGGGCGTTTCCGACCAGTGTGCGACGGGTTGTCGGTCGTACCCCAATCACATTTCACACCACTATGACCAATAAATGCACACACTAAAATCGCTATTACCGATAGGCTCATCCAATCAAGTTTCGATAAACCTGTTCATCATCATCTCCTGCGGTTTCGAACACGCCTGTTAGGTGGCTTCTGATGCTCGTCGAGGTCGGAATTTCCAAATACGCGTGGTGCGTCGGGCCGCGCGCTGTGACTTTGGCCAAGAAAAATGGGTCAGCTGATCATTGTCATTTCTGCCACTTGCGTGTGGTGAAATGGGGTCATAACTTAACCCGCGCCGGGCCGGGGGTGGGGGGTGTTTGAACACCCCCCCCCTGTGGTTTTTCGCAGATATCTAAAAAACCGCAACGTTTTTGGCACACCTGTTTGTGCATCTTTTTCGCACATGTTGTGAAAATTTCAGACCCAGGTCGCCTTAGGTCAGGTCACCAGGTCACGCCAAGTGACCTCACCTCAGAAAAAATAAGAAGCTCGTCATAGCTACACCGATTGATCGATTGCCTTGAAACTTTCAGCGATTAATTAAAGAGAAACAGTATCTATAAAATGTATATCTCGGAATTTTGATATCGGTGATCTAAGGTCAGGTCAATTTTGCGGCCTCTCTATTATAAGTCAATGGGAGAAAATTGAAAAGCGTCTGTGCTCTGTTTTGCACGAACGCCATTCTAGACACTCTCAAACATCGAGATGTAGATACAATTGACACACTGAACCGGAAAATGGCAACTGTGACCCCTCGTTATGTCTCCGAGGTCATCTCAGGTCACGAACAGAATCTAACAGTTTTTTGCTAATAACTTCTGATAGAGAAGTGCTAGAGCGCTGAAAACGCCTTAAATGTGTTCGGTTCGACGTTGCGGATCGATTGATATGCAACATGACCTTTTCCGGTCAGGTCATGACCTTGACCTGAGGTCAAATTTTCAAGTTGACCTTTCAAGGTCAAATTATAGTTCATTCGACGCGTCTCGATTAGAGGAACACGATGCTGGCAAAAGTAATGTCATGGCTCTTTTGAGTCAAAAGTTATCGCCGATAAAACACTTTTCGTAAAAACGGCTATTTTTGGAGTTTTTGCCCTCTGGAAGCTAAACCGTTGACCTGATGTCAAATCTGAGAGCATTACTCAGAAAGGCCTGAAAAAGGGCTATCGAATGCGCTTTTCTGCGGCGCTGTAGCTCTATCGGTTCCAGAGATAGCCGTTGGCAGTTTCCAAAATGTTGAAATAGTCAACATTTTACCTTTGGTGACCAGTCAACATTTTACCTTTGGTGACCTCTGGTGACCTGACCTTTCACCTGACCCAAAAAATGACGGAAGTGTTTTCGTCCTTATTTTGGACGTTCTTTCGATTCCCGCTTACTGCGTGTCGCTACGTGGCCCAGGAGCCGAGTTAGAAAGGGGGTGTTCAAACACCCCCCCTGGCCCGGCGCGGAATCTCAGAGCACCGGCCCGGCGCGGGTTAAGAGACGGCTGTTTCATATCAATTATTTTACATGAAATCATATTTCAAACCACAAATTAATGTTCGACAGCCAAATTAAAGAAACAATACCAATACAGGCTTACAGTTTAAGTTCGACATTGCGTTGTCTACGATTAGACAGCTGATAGGAACTCATTCCCGTACGTCGTAACTCTATAATGACCTTTGCTTATTGTCACATGTGCGCCGCATTCGCGATTGTTGCCGACGCCTGTTTGCAGGTCAGCCCACTACAGTTGTTATACATATCGAAAAACCGATAAACTTTTAGGCAAAAAAGGCACTATTCCAGGACCATTTTTGATTTTTTTGCGATATTAGGTAAAAACAGAAGCTTCTTATCCTAGGAAAAATATAATGGGAAATCATTGGAAGGTGGCACAATACCTTTAAGGTCAGTATTGGGACCCCAGAGACAGAAATGAGGCCATCAGAGACCGGCGGAGGCCGGCTGGGACCCCTGATGCCAGTTTAGGGCCCTTAGAGGTCGATGTGGGCCCTCATTGGTCAAGGTGGGTCCTTGAAGGCCACTGAAGGGCCCTCAGAGGTTAGTGTAGGACCCTCAAAGACCGGTATGGAGGCTATTAATAGCAGGCGTGGGTTTCTTGAGCCTCGTGACAATCAAACAAGGGCCAGGGCCCCTTACGCCCATGGGGGCCCATCGGTTGTTTTGTTTACGGGGGCCAAATGATATGATGGCCCCCTGATTTGCCTTTGGGGGGCCATGGCCTTGATGCCCCCCTTGCAACCGCCACTGTGCATTTAGGCCAGGTCGGGTCAGGTCAGGTCAGGTCAACTAGTAGGGATCCTGACGGGTATTCTTAGTATTTGTCAAACGCCTCTGACAGCTTCGTAACATGTTACGAAGGCCCCCAAAGTTATTTCATAAATGTTCAAATGGCTGCTAATTTCGAATTCAGCTCCAAAAACTAGCATAAAAACATGTAAAACTTGCAAAAGTGAACCGAGGTCATCAAAGGTCGATGACCTGACCTGACCTCTAAGTGACCTTGAAACCCATCCTAATGCATGGGCGCAACAGCATATCACATGTTTGAACGCTTGAAACCACGAAAAGGCTGCAAACGCGCGGCTAATGCGAGCCAACATTTGTCGAATCACGATTCCGGCCAAACATGGTGTCGAAAGGTAGGTCACAGGTCAAAGGCTATTTGGGTCAGGCCCATGTCACTCCACTTTTGATGACATCATAAGGGGGCCTCAGGACAATAATGGCGCGGTGCGCCACAATCGCTTCCAAGCCACTTGCCAACAGCTGCCATTTTTGAAAATATTATTTTGAAATAAAGTTACAAATAATAAAAATATTGTAATAAATTTGTTAATTAAATCGATACCTTATCTAAAATCTTACTGAAAAATGATTTATTCATAGTAACCAGTATAACGCCTTTTGGGGCGACTAACGGAGCGAGCGAGAGGGTGGGCTTTGCACGTGCGAAATTGCGAGGGGGTACCTCCAACTGACTTGTGCACGGCACCCTATTAACCGGTCTCTAGCGATGTGCCAAATTTGAGTTCAATCGGCCCAGCCGTTCTCGAGATCTGGAAGCGGCACCCTGCACGTGCGCACGTGCAAAATGGGTCCCAACTGACTTATGCACGGCACCCTACTAACTGCTCCGTAACCGTGTACCAAATTTGAGCGCAATCGGTCCAGCCGTTCTCGAGATCTGGAATCGACCCCCTGCACGTGCGCACGTGCAGCAGCACCCCAACTCTGGCACATGGATACGCATTGCCTAATGGGTGCCTACCTACATGCCAACTTTCAGCGCAATCGGCCCAGTAGTTACCGAGATATTGCAACTATTACAAAAGTGACATCTCTTCGTTTTGCACGTGGCACGTGCATAAGGGGTCACCCACTTGTATCGGCAATGGTCCAGTACTTGGTAGAAGGAATGAAGCTACCCTACAAAAATTACCGCATGTAAATCGGTCAAGTGGTTGCTGAGATATAAGCGTCGTAGAATCGTGACCACGGCCGGCCGGCCGGCCGCTCATACTCAGAAATTTCCGTTATTCTACGTGAGATTTCCTCGCTTCGCTCGCTCCGTAAAAATACCAGTATAACGCCTTTTGCGGCGACTAACGGAGCGAGCGAAAGGGTGGGTCTTGCACGTGCGAAATTTCGAGGGGGTACCTCAAACTGACTTGTGCACAGCACCCTACTAACCGGTCTCTAGCGATGTGCCAAATTTGAGCACAATCGGCCTAGCCGTTCTCGAGATCTGGAAGCGGCACCCTGCACGTGCGCACGTGCAAAATGGGTCCCAGCTGACTTTTGCGCGGCACCCTACTAACTGGTCCCTAACCGTGTACCCAATTTGAGCGCCATCGGTCCAGCCGTTCTCGAGATCTGGAAACGACCCCTGCACGTGCGCACGTGCAGCAGCACTCCAACTCTGGCACATGGATATGCATTGCCTAGTGGGTGCCTACCTACATGCCAACTTTCAGCGCAATCGGCCCAGTAGTTACCGAGATATTGCAACTATTACAAAAGTGACATCTCTTCGTTTTGCACGTGGCACGTGCATAAGGGGTCACCCACATGCATCGAGAATCGTCCAATACTTGGTAGAAGGAATGAAGCTACCCTACAAAAATTACCGCATGTAAATCGGTCAAGCGGTTGCTGAGATATAAGCGTCGCAGAATCGTGACCACGGCCGGCCGGCCGGCCGCCCATACTCAGAAACTTCCGTTATTCTACGTAAACTCCGCTCGCTTCGCTCGCTCCGTGATAAGCTGGATGCGTTTTTACGTTGCTTTCCTGCTACTGCAGAGGTTTTTTTAAATCGTCTATATCTTCAAAACCGGCCATTTCTTAGCATATTGCTGCTCTTTTTTGTCGCTAGAAAATTAGTTGGGCTTTCAATTGACATCAACGGTTGAGTGGTAGGTGTAGAATGCCATCAGTAATCTTCAAATAAAATTAGTCATTTTTACGTTGTCAAGGAACGGAGTACCCCTTGCGAGCATCAGGGGTGACGTCACTCAGGATCCGTCTCTGCTTGGTCGGCGGGGGATTGACTGTACCTTCTATAGATGGCCTTGATTTGGGTCAGGGTCATGAAGTTTTCAGGGTAGGTGTAAAATTGATCATCTCGGGGGTAATTAAAATTTCGTCGTCATCGGCCACTTTTTACGCTAGTTATTTGCGAAAAACCGAGGGATTCCGTTCGACCCCCCTCCCTATACGGGCGAGGGTTAACACGAACCAACCCGGCATTAGTAGCGTTAGACAATAGGTAGTGTTCAAAAAAGAGAATAGTCGTTACCCTGATGTGCATTATAAAAGAACGCCATGCTGCGTAATCAGACAACAAAACATAAAAATCACTCAAAAACACATTTCTACATCTAACAAAGAATAACACAACTTCATTCAAGTCTGGTCATGTTATGATCATAGGTATAGGGCACGTTTTATGGGACAGAAGGTGTTTCCTCAGAACTTACCATTTCCGAAAAACATCGGCGAGGCGTTGCGGGACGTCTTACCCCGGTGTACCCTACGGGCGAGGGTTAACCTATTGGACACTAAAAATGCTGCCTATTTTTCTGCAAATGTAGCAAGTGACAACAATAGCACTCTTGTTTATTACAAGTGACAACAATAGCACTCTTGTTTATTACCAGGATTACCATTTTCTTCATCCTATTCGATCGAAAGTCAAAACTCTATGTCAGGATGTCCAAAGGCATCCAGTAACATCTTCTTGTAGAGCTGCATATCCAGCGCCTGGACGATGTTGACGTTGCAGGGAGTGCGGGCGCGCGCGGCGTGCCAGTCGCGTCTGTCGACCACCAGCTGGCCGCGCGTTAACTGGCCCTGCAGCTCGACGGAGGCCTGCCGGCGGGCAGAGCGTCAGCAGTGGCCCAGTCGGGGCGACTCTAATGGCAGCTCATTACGGGTGTCGCCGCCGGCGGGCACCTACCGCGTCCCGCCCTCTCCAACACATTACCCCCCCCCCCCCCACACGCACCCACACACACGCCGCAGTCTGGCAGCGGCCCGAGAGCGAGCAGCACATCAGTGGCCGGAGATACGGCGCGGCAGAAGCCCCGAGATACGGCGCGACAAACTGCCAGGCAACAGCATGGACAACGCCTCCTGGTCAGTAGGGCTCGGAAACGGCCCATCGCCCAGCCGGCGCCGCGCCGGTCAGCTGCTGCGAGACCGGCAGAGCAGCAGCTGGTCCACTCTGCAGACCCAGACACAGCCTGAGAGATCATTTGAGTTCACCCTCTCTAGAACACCATAAAACATCGGGCTTTTACTCCTTAAATAACTCTGGTTTATTCCCCCTTAGTAAGATAGAAAAAAGACACCAAATGGGGGGGTGATTGCAAAAAAGCCCGCCCACAGGGGTGTAAAAAAACTCCCTTTTGGAGCATCAATAACACCGTAATATGGTGTCCATGAACGCCGTTTCTTGGTGTACATGGACTCCATATTTCGGAGCTCTGATGCCCCAAAAGAGCGATTTTTGATATCCCTGTGGGACGGACTTTTTGCCATGTTACCGTAAATAGAGTCAAGACTCTCAAATAATTCTTTTTGGGGGTTATGATGCCCCAAAGGACAGTTTTCGATACCCCTGTATGGCGGACTTATTGGTATATCACCTTATATGAAGTCACGACACAACCGATAGAAATTCCAAGCATTTACTCTCGGAAATTTCCAGGTGAGACTTCAATACCTATACATCCGGTAGAAGCTCTTAGATTCTACTCCGAGACGAGTCAAACCATATAATCACGCGCCTGAAAATTTTAGGCTTTGTTATATATATGTTACGGGTCATATGCTAACTTGGGCAGTATGCAAACTGCCCGGGCAGTATGCAAACTACCCAACAGCCCGGGCAGTATGCAAACTACCCAACAGCCCGGGCAGTATGCAATGCATACCGCCCGGGTAGTATGCATACTACCCGACCCCTTGGGCAGTATGCATACCGCCCAAAAGCTTGGGCAGTTTGCATACTGCCCGCCTCTCGTCTTGAAGTTGTGTATTCCATGTCCATTTTAAAAATAAAAATGGATCTCTGAGTAAAATAGCTTAATTACGAAGTCTGTTTTGCCGTCAAGCGCGTTTTATCGATTGAAGGATGGAATAAGAACTAGAATATACAGACTTAAAGTTTTGCCCAGAATTTCATTGTTTATTAGCCAGCAGCCAACAAGTCATTTTCATCTGAAATGACGACAGATCTATAGTATCATCACTCGTTGGCTTTGGTTTGGTATCTGGACCTGTAGAGGGCGTAAGTACAGTTTCAATAGCTAATACTGCATGAAACCATTTGCATGCAAGGCGTAAAAAGTTCTTATGGTCAGGTAACTGCAGGGCAGATCAAGTGACCTTACCTCAGAAAAGGTTAGAACTTGTTCGCCATAGCTACCCCGACTGAACGATCGCTTTGAAACTTTCAGCAATCTATAGCAGTAAAAGCATGTATAAAATACATGCATTGGATTTTTGATGTCCAACCGATGACCTAAGGTCAGGCCAATTTTGCAGTCTCTTAGAAGTTGACAGGAGAAAGTTGAAAGACGCCTTTTTGGATAAAAGTCCTTCTAAACGCTCTCAAATATCGGGTTCCATGTAAACACAACACACTGAATCGGCAAATTCCACTTGTAGTGACCCCTCTTTATGACCATGAGGCCATGTCAGGTCATAACAGATCTGCAGTAGTTTTTTACGATTACCTACTTTTTATGGAGACGTATTCGAGCAATGGAAATAACCTTAGATGTGTTTAAGTCGACGATAAGGATCGTCTGATAACCAACATGACCTTTTCATGTCATGCCATGACCTTGACCTTAGGTCAAATTTTAAAGTGGTCTCAAAAGCCAAATTATTGTTAACTCGACGCGTCTCGAAGAGAGGAACACGATGTCGGCAAAGGCGCAATGTCGTGCCTATCTAAGGTAAACTAATTTTGCCGTGAAATAAATCGTCAAAACAGCTTTTTAAGTGTTGTTGCCCTCTGGAGGCTACACCGTGAATTTTTATGAATTTTTATGTTATTTTGAATGCCGCTTACGGCATCTTACATGCAGCTTACTCCTGTGCCGGTAAGTGGCACAGGAGTCGAGTTAGGGTGTTCAATCCCCCCTCCCCCCAAAAAAAACCGGCACGGCTGGTGCCGAGCGCGGCCCCGCGCGGGTTAAAGTGTCTGCCATTGACATTGTATGCGAGCTATTGCATTAACTAGCCTCACGAGCCACGGTCAGCATACTGCCCGAGTAAACATCCTGCCCGTGAGATGAAAGGTATGCGGTATGCATACTGCATGGCATACATGCATGCATACTACCCGGGCGGTATGCATACTGCCCAAGCGGTCGGGTAGTATGCATACCGCCCGGGTAGTATGCATACTACCCGACCCCTTGGGCAGTATGCATACCGCCCAAAAGCTTGGGCAGTTTGCATACTGCCCGCTTTCCGACTTAAAGTTGTGTAATCCATGTCCACATTAAGAATATGAATGGCTCTCTAGATAACAATAGATCGACCGAGAAGAATTTTTGTCGTCAAACGTGATTGATCGATCGTAGGATGGAATGAGGATTGGAATAAAGTGTTGAAATTACTTTTTCCCATATCCATTGTTGAATAACCAGTGGCCAACAAGTCATTGTCATTGTGAAGCGTGAACTGAGTCAAATGAAAAGACGACGACAAAATTTGACGTCATCAACTTTGAACAAATCTTTTTTCGCTATAACTTTGCCAAAAAGAGGAATCAATCTCAAATTTGGTATGTGGATAGAAGGCGGTAGGGACTATCACATATTTTCCGTTTTTTCGAAATTCAAAAAAAAATTGGATTTTTTGCCTATTAGGTCAAAAATTGCTTTTTTGATTTTGGGGGGTTCAATATCTAAACATTTTACAAAATCTGAAATAGCAGTTTTGTAGCCCTCTAATTCTACACTTTTTATACCTACTCTTAAACATTTTCTGTATCTATAAAGCTGTAGGCCTGACAGCTCTTCCCGCGAAACCTTTTTCGGGTCGAAAATGGCAGAAATGACGTCACTCTGACGTCATTAGCGGCCAACCTATCATAGCCTTTGGAAAATTTTTGGTCACAATGTGTAAAAGCTACGATCCCGGGAGGGTACTGAAAGTTTCGTGGCAATCGGCGCAGCGGAATTCTGGAGATATATCGAAAAAACTAAGGGGGACAAAAAATGCCCCCCCCCCCCACCACCCGGAAGGTTGAAACGTTTGTCATTCACATATATACGCGAGTTATTGCATTAACAAGCCTCACGAAGTGTAGTCAACATACTGCCCGAGTAAACATCTTGCCCGTGAGAAGAAAGGTGGGTGGTATGCATACTACCCGGGAGGTATGCATACTGCCCGGGCGGTATGCATACTGCCCAAGGGGTCGGGTAGTATGCATACTACCCGGGCGGTATGCATACTGCCCGGGCTGTTGGGTAGTATGCATACTGCCCGGGCAGTTTGCATACTGCCCAAGTTAGCATACACTGAAAAAATATAAAACACTGGTCGGGTGTTTTATCAGTGTATTATGGGTGTTAAGCACCATTAATGGTGTATCATGACACTAATAGCAGTGTCATTACCCCATCCAACACCGTTTTTGGTGTAATAGCATTGCTTGAACACGGTTTAAGGTGTCACATGACACTTGAAATAACACACTTGGGGTGTAATCGAGGTGTCTCAACTCCCATCTAACACCTTTTTTGGTGTTACAGAGAAAACATAACACCCGTTAGGTGTACTGAGGGTGCCATGTCATCCCTTAAACACCGTTTAAGGTGTCACACGACACTTGAAAAGCACACTTGGGATGTACTCGAAGTGTCGTAGCTCCCATTCAACACTCCTTTTGGTGTCAAAGAGAAAACAAAACACCCTCTGGGTGTATTGAAAGTGTCATGTCATCACTTAAACACCGTTTAAGGTGTCACACGACACTTGAAAGAGCACACCTGGGATGTAATCGAGGTGTCGTAACTCCCATTCAACACTCATAGCAGTGTCATTACCCCGTTGAACACCGTTATTGGTGTAATGACATTGCTTGAACACCGTTTAAGGTGTCACATGACACTTGAAATAACACACTTGGGGTGTAATCGAGGTGTCTCAACTCCCATCCAACACCTTTTTTGGTGTTACAGAGAAAACATAACACCCGTTAGGTGTACTGAGTGTGCCATGTCATCCCTTAAACACCGTTTAAGGTGTCACACGACACTTGAAAAGCACACTTGGGATGTACCCAATCGAAGTGTCGATCCCATTCAACACTCCTTTTGCAGGTGTCAAAGAGAAAACAAAACACCCTCTGGGTGTAGGTATTGAAAGTGTCATGTCATCACTTAAACACCGTTGAAGGTGTCAGTGACACTTGAAAGAACACAATGATAGGTATCATATCACATCACATCACAATGTAGGTATTGAAGTGTTATGAAATGTAAGTGTTAGCTAGTATTATCGTAGGGGTCTGAGCCGTAGGGGGTCTGAGCCAGGGGATGACTAACACCGTTCGTATTCTCTTGGTACTTCATGTAGTTAAGTTATAAATGTTATTGTTTAGCTGGGACAGAGACATTCTAGCATAAAAATATTCAAATTACCAGCTTCGTTTATTAGTTACGGGAGCTTTCGAAAGACGTTCGTCTTTCTTCGTCAGCCTGTCTTTGCAGTGTCAGACACCCTTGAAATTCCCTATGGGTGCAGTTGGGTAGATGGCGCTGCTGTGCTGTATGGTGTACAGAGTTTGCATTTATATTCTAATGGATTTGCTTCAACTACATCAAATAAACAAATCCACGATA